CGTTGGCACATGCCCAGTATGATACTGGCGAGATGCTTCTTGGCAAAGGGTTGATTACAGATTTATATAGTCGCATTCACTCCACACTCACTCCATTTGCACTTGTGCAAATGGACTGTGGAACTATCGCATTTTCAGCTGTCACCTTTATTCTTGGCTTTTCTGCGTCCGCGCTCAGGTGGATCAGACCATTGCTGATGGATTTTCCAAATAGCCCTGAGGCAGGCATGAGTTTCCTTACGACAGGCTTTGATATGCTTGCCTCAACCATGTAAAGAGTTGTGTACACAGGGCGTCGAAGCAAATCCAACCATTTTCAGTCTTTATACACTGCGTTCTGGATTGCCCAAACAATTCCACAATTTCAGTCAAATGCTTGCTATACTTGCTACCACAGTGACGGATCAGTGACTACACAATAGACTTTTTTCGTTTCCGGCCACCGGCCCCGGCCACGCGGCAACCCGGCCAGCCGGCCACAGCCGGCCACCGCCGGGCACGCGGCCAGCCGGCCACCCCCGGCCATCCGGCCAGCCCCGACCAGCCCCGGCCAGCCCCGACCAGCCCCGGCCAGCCCCGGCCAGCCCCGGCCACCCGGCCAGCCTGGCCACCCGCCACGCGGCCAGCCGACAATCTCACGACCAGTCACCTGTATGTTTGGGGTCGCGCCCCGTCACCGCCGTACGCCCTTGTCTTTTTGTTTTGTTGTTGTTGTGCCAAGCTTCGCTGAGAAGCGGAAAAGCTTCGCTGAATGCTGGCTGTTCCTAGCTGACTACACTCAAGGAACCTACACTCAAGCGCGCGTGCAACCTCCACTCAAGCGGCAAAGGGCTCACCGGAATCAGTCGGCACATATCTACATAGCTGGCGTAAGTCAAGTGACGTGTGCCAAGCTTTACAACAAATGAGCCTTAACCATGCAGGATTGATCATTGACATCAACGAGCTGATTTGTGCTGAGTCTTTGTCGCAGAGGTACCACTTCTAAGCCAAATTGGCGGCGCGCCTCCCCAATCTCCATGTTGTTGTACATCCATTTGAAGCTGTTCTGCTTGCAGCATCAACATGCATCCGACATGGCTCATCGCTTATCAGAGATGAGCTTCATCATCGATGACTCCCACTCAGCAGGACACACCGGAGCGTATTGCAAGGAGCACTGCCTGCCATCCTTGGAAGTGAATAGTGCTTTGTTGGGCACCTTCCCAACAAGCATTGCTGAAAGCGTGAACTTGCATTTTAGCCTGTTAGGCCACGCAGTGCGCCACATGAACAAGTTCTTCGCCCAGCTATTCATCCACGAGCGCCCAAGAACATAACACGTCAAAGCTCCTGCACCTGCGGGACAAAAAACGGGCCAGCGCAAAGAAGTGCAGAAACGGACAGGTCGGTTGATGAGTTTCACAACAGACTAGTTTTTGCATGTGTTCGCTGTCCGTAACCCTGCAAAATGTCAGCTTGCAAGGCGGCTGAGTGTTGTACGTTGTGCCTATTGCATGTATTCTCTCTGTTTGACTGTTGTCCGTAACCAAAGCCTTGAACCTCCAATGCAAAGAGATTTCTCGTCGTTTGTTAAATCAATCGTTTGACGAAAAAAATCTTGTCATTTTTGTCGATTCGATAAAAACACCTATAGCGTTTCGTAAAAACATTGCCGACACAGTCAAACAGAGAGAAAACAACTGGAACGACAAGGAAATGGGATTTGCGGGCGTTTGCGGGTATTTGCTAGCGTTTGCGAGATATCTGCGGGCGTTTTGCGGGTAATTCTTGTCGAGCGTCCCATCTTAACCTTTGGCAGTCAGGACACCAAAACTGAAGTAAATTATGAGAATCCAGGAAACTATGTCGTTCTTAGCGATTGTAGCGTTTACAGTTTTTGCTGGCAAATGTAGGCAAAAACAAAAACAACAAGAAAATTCTTGTCGTTGGAGGGTGCAGGAGGTGGTTTTGGATGGCCATTCCGTTTCCTTAAAAAGGTTTAGTTATTCTGGGGCTACGGTCATGCTCAGAAGTACTATTGCAGGACAAAATTTAAACTGCCGCTCAGGAAACACACACTGCGGTGCGGGGATACTACTCACCATCAAGAGGAACCATCCCAGAATATCTATTTAAGGTGCGGTGATGTGCAGATCTTCCATGCTTTCTCCCACATACAACCCTCGCCCGCGCGACCTAAAACACGCGCCGACTCACCTCCAGCCACCAGCCACCTCTGGCCATCCGGCCACATCCGGCCATCCGGAAAAATGGCCATCCGGCCACATCCGGCCGGCCACCTCCGGCCACACGGCCACGTCCGGCCACCGGCCACACCCGGCCATCCGGCCACGTCCGGCCACCGGCCACATCCCACCGATGACCGGCCACCCGTGGCCACAGGCCAGGCGGGCCGGCCACCCACAAAAAAAGTCTATCCCCCAGTGACTAGCATGTCGTTTAGTTTTGGTCCTGAGAAGAGCTTGCCATGTTCACCCCTTTGCTTTGCCTTGCAGGTTCACAATGTGACCACGCATTGGATGGATGGCTCTATTCTGGTAGCACCAGTCTTGCGAGAAGACTCTACCCATGAGGCTCAGCAGCAGCTCAGTCTGGGACACCGGTGCTCGGCCAGAGTAAACATGGCATAAGGACCTCCATTTGCCTCCGGGTCTTTGGTATCGCCTGGACAAGGCTCTCATGTTAGCTGAAGAGGCAGGTGGGGAATGCTGCGTTGCTTTAGGAAGACAAAGGCTTGTTTCTTTCAGGACAATGCCTTGATTGTTGTCTGCGAAATGCAACTCGAAGGTGAAGACAGTTGCTCCAGGTGTGCCTGTTCAGGTGCAGGGTGGGTTGAAAATGAAGCTCTCCCTTTCAACAATTCCTCAGAATCGGTCACCAAACATGGTGGCACTTACAGTGTTGCAGCTTGTGTGAAGAATAGGCAAGCAAGGAGAATAGTAAGAAGGAGAGTGTGTAAAGAGAGCAAGGAGAAGGAGTGGAGGCAGGTAGAGAGGAAGAAGTGGAAGGAGAGGAAGGAGAATGAGAAGAAAGACAAGAAGATATCCTGATATCCCATTGCATCAACAAAGGCCCCTTTAAGCATTTAGTAGGAATGCTCAACAGGGTGAGCTTTCTTTCTTTCTTTCTTTCTTCCTTTATAGATTGGAGAGATTGACTTCTGGCAGGGGCACGATCCGTTGGTGACTCAGGGCTCTGGCACCCGTGTCACGTCCAAAGTACCAATGAAAGAGGCCGGGCGGTAGATGGCCTTGGCATCCATGTGGCCCTTTTGAAACCATGTTGGTCGTCAAACTGATGTGCTTTGTTACTAGTAGCTTCTTGTTACTAGTAGTCTTCCTTTTTGATTCGGGCAATCCCAACTGCCATTTGTTGATGTGGCCCCAGTTCTGCAGGTACCCTGCTTTGTGAGACCTGGTACGATTCTTCCTTTATCACCCGTTGTGGGGGCCTCGCAGGTTTTCCAAGATTGCTTGACTTGCGTGATCAAATTATCTTCTGCAAAGTTGTGCCACCCTGGAACTTGCAACAAGAAGGTAGAAAGAACTCGTGTGAGCCGTGAGCATGTTGGAGTGAATAGAAAACCTGGGTTTTGTTCTGTCTTTGAGGTCCAACATAGTGGCGAGATCGGACAAGGGCCTTTGCAGGTGGGCCACAGCATCCAGCGTGCTGAACTTGTTACGAGAAGTTGGAGGCATGAATCGACATGAAAGATCATAAACGCCTGTTTCCCTTATATAGACAAACACAACACGTGTTGAGTCTGAGACGTCGTTTGACTTCACCAGTTTCACCGTTCGACCCGTGTTGAGCGGTTAAACAGGTCTACGTCTTTGGGGGCAGCGATGGACACTTCACGCTTGGAGCTGTGAATGGTGCTGACAAATCCCGTCCAGCGTTGAAAAACATGTCACTCGATTTGGTGCTGCCAAGGCTGGTTGAGGATGATGGTTGGTCAACCAAGTACCAGCAAGGCTGCTTGACTACTCTAGTTCTCCTTCCGACAGCAGCACAATCTTCGCCCCAACCGTAGAAGCTGTTTGTGTTTGTAGTTCCTTCTTTGCACGTCGGAGCTTTGCAAGCATACATCAGCTTCGCAAGCATAGTTTTCGTTGGGAACGAGATAATTTCGATCATATAGAACAAGCTCCATTGGCACAGGAGTCAGTCAACATGTTGACAATCATGAATGCTACATAATGCTACAGTTATATCTTGTTTGCTCTCAAGAAGTTGTGGCTGGGATTCACCCAGCTTGTAGAGATTTCTCTCCAGAATGATGTGTCAAACGACTCTCTGATTGTTTTTGTTCAGTTCCTTGAGTGATTTAGGTGACATTCGCTCCACCAACTTCAAGTGGGCTGACCATGATCAAACGTTGTCCTGGACAAGCATGATACCTTTTGAATACACTGAGCAGGGTGGCCAAGTTCAGTAAGTTTGCTGAAGAAAGGGCTCAGAGTCAGAATCTGGTGCATTTTCATGTACTCGGATTTGGGTGCACGCATGTGTGCAAACGCAATATCTTATTACATGCACACATACATACTATCACAGATTCATATTGTGTTAGTGTGACATGGTTTGATGCGAAACATCTACTAGCTCCACACCTTGACGGACCGAACATCCAGTAGCTCCATACATCTAAATTTGTACGTGACCCATTGGCTCTTGGTTCTCACAAAACCGTTGACACTGGGTCACTTGGGAGGTCTCAAAGGTGCCATTGGCTGGTGATTGCGTTGGCAGTGGGTAATCGTTTCCAGTGTATTTGGGGGTCGGTTGGTGGTGATTTGTGCTGGCTGCCATTCTTTCGCTGCCTTTTGCATGAATTGTCTGATTCACTGTCTATTTGACGAAGTTTGAATTTGTACTTGGAGAGGCAGCTGCAGCAGATGAAAGCCTCTCCCGGCGTTACATGATGCATCGTTGCCGCTGTTTGCTCGGAAGAGTTATCAGTAGTGACAAAAGCTTGAACAAAGGAGTTCCGAGCCATGTTGCGCCGCACCCTGCTCCTGTCTACCCTGTTCGCTGTGGCCTTTGCCGCCCTTGGCTCTCTGGCTTTTCTAGCTGCACCTGGACACATTACCAGGGTTGTGCCGCGTGCTGACAGGCCATGCTTGGCTGGAGCCAGCGCTGAAGCTTTCCAGGGCAGAACAGGGAGCCATGGATGTATGGTGGCAGCATTGGTGGCTATGGCCGCAGGTGCTTTGATTGTTCAGAACAAAGGTGGCGGCCATGGGGAGATTGGATATCACCTTGCTCTGAAGTTGGCGAAGGAAAAGGGGCTGAAAGTGACCATGATCCAAGACAGCGCATGCAAGCAAGACAAGCCGCCCTTCAACAGTTATAGTGACTTGACCCAGGCTGGTGTCGAGATCAAAATGGCTGATCTCCAGAACGGAGGTCTGTCCACCGCGATTCAGGGCGTGCCGCCCTGTGAGTATGTGTTTGACAACCAGAATATTTGCCCAAAGGATGTGCAGAACTTGGTGAAGTCATGGAACCCAAAGGTCTATGCCTATGTGAGTTCAGGTGGCATGTACCTTGCCGTGCCACAAGGGCCCCTGATTGAAGGGGGTGGTGTGAAGCTCGACAACAAGCAGCTGGCCAACGAGAATCATGCTCGGAATTTGGGCATCAACTGGTGTGCCTTTCGCCCGCAGTACATCTACGGGCCAAAGACCAACAAGCGAGACTACATCGACTGGTTCTTGGACCGCATCACCAGGGACTTGCCTTTCCCTCTCCCCAAGGATGGTACCCTCTTCACCACTCTGACCAACAGTGAAGATGTGGCTGGAATGATGGCGAGTGTCGTGGGAAAAGAAGCAGAAGCTACATCTACCAACGGTCAGATCTTCAACTGTGCAGGAGACGAGCTCCTGTCACATGTGGATGTTGTCAAGGTGATTGCGACAGCCATTGGCAAAGATCCCAAAGATGTCCTGTCCAAAGTCGTGTTCTATGATCCAGCTTCCTTGACACTTGGGTGCATCAGTTGTGTATAGTTGTGTCATCAGTTGCACTCTCGTGATGTTTTTAACAACTTTGCATAGGATGCGTGACATGCAAGCTTGCAACTTGCAACATTGCTTGAAGGAAAGGCCTTGATCTTCCTAAAGAGGGCAAGTTTCCCTTCAGGGAGACCAACTTCGGAGTTGATGTCAAGAAGGCGAAGAAGGCGCACAGAAAGCTGCGTGGGACTGGTTCGGTACAACTGAGACATGCCGGCAGGTCTTGGGCTGGACACCGCAGCACACCTTCCAGGGTGATATTGCCGAGTACTATGCAGACTATTGCCGCCTGGGCAAGGCCTCAAACACCCCGCCCATGATACATGCACACGCACACAGCGTATTGGAATCAATCCAAGTGATTCTTTCTTTTCTTTTTTTCTATTACAAGCCCCTAGTAGCGTCCTTGCTCCTAGTAGCGATGCCCTTTGCTCCTATTGAAGTGTATGGGATTAAACAATTTCTCTTGAGCCACCCCGAGACACATGCCAGAGTTGCCTCCGCCAGGACCAAGGACCAGTGAAACGCGCCTGGGATGAGGCAGTGATCAGTGCAGCCATGAGCACCGCATAGATGCGACCGCTACAACTTTGTTGCTTTTATCTGCGAACTCTTTTTCATTTGTGACATGCAGAGGTCATGTGCTTGACATTCCTTTAGATAGATTCTGTATGCCTAGTGAAGTTGGTGTTACCATGAGCATTTTGACAACGACTGGCTTCTGAGCGGTCCCTTCCATGGCTGCAGCTGCATCAAAGATGCGCCGCACCACATTTTTCCAAGTCACAGCTTCCGATCGCAAATTCGGAATCGGCTTTGTCCAGCAGTGTAGGCTCACTGATGCAGGGTGCTTCGCACTTTAGTCTCACACTGCATTGGCCCGTGCAAACTCACTCTTGCTTCATCATCAGATGTCTTGCTTTGCTCCCTGCGCTTTTAATTCCAGCTTGTTCTTCGCTTTGGTTGCCCATAGACTCAAACAACTCATGCACGCAAAAAAAAAGCAGTCACTTAGCCGCTTCGGCCCAATTTCTGGAAGCGCTTTAAACAGTCTTTGTACCTTCTTGTACCCCGCTTTGACCTCTCTTGCACCCTTCTCAAAGACAATGAGGCACGGCTTCTCACAGCTCTCAGTGTGCGCGGGCAGTGGTCGTAGTACACATGCGGGCAGTGGTCGAAAAACACTGGCCAGACATGCACCAGGTACTTTGTGAACATCTATGGCCACATCACCCAGGCCGGTCGCCAATCCGCTAAAGCAAAACAACGAAGTCGTCTTTTCGGCATGACTCGGCATTCCAATGCCGGCGCCAGTCCCCGATTCTGGCATTCTCCAACGAGGGCTCCTTTACCTTCCAGGTGTGACGTGCGGGATGTCCATGTCATGTTGGTTCCAGGTGTCAGCTATGTCAAGCAGATGAAAGTAGAGAGCGCGCGAGAGAGAGAGGTTGGGTTTCAAGTTCCTGGTTGTTGTGATGAAATAGCTTCTGGCATCAGTTGCCAGAATCAGTTCCTTCATGTCATTGGACAGGCATCCCAGGGTTGGCAGAGTTTCACATAGTATGGCGTTGTTGCGACCTGTGAATGTGCACCTGATTATATAGAGGTATATATACACATTTCGTTCCAACCTCTTTTCATTCCATCTGCTTTCGTCGCTGTAGGCTGCCAATGAGGTCTTCAAGTAGCATAGGCTCTCTGAGTTTGGGAGTCAAAGCACGGCGTTGCTTTGCGCTGCTGTGTGCTTTGCATCCAAGCTGCTTCAGCGAGGGAGTGACTTCGGAAACACGACGTGTCAATCCTCAGTGCCTCAACTGCGTTTTTCGATTTCAATCTGGTGCAGTCCACAGGCCAAAAGGCTCAAGTGGCGCTCCAGCAACAGAGGAACGCGAATGTATAGAGTAGCCGATCCAATACGACATTTGCTGCTGATCCAAAGAGTGATTAATGTGATTTGCTATCATACCAAAAAGTTGAATCAGAGTTCACGTTTACAGCTTGCTCCCCGAGCTCTAGATTCAAGCTGATAGACTCAAGACTGTGGAAGAGTTGGAACAAGACTAGTGGAGACTGTTTGCCTGAACATAAAGCCACCCTGACATTTGCCTTCCTGCATCGTAGATGGCATGAACTGCGGCAGTCAGCAAGACTCTAGACACAACTTGTCGAGTGAAACCCACTGCAAGTCGAGTGGGTGGAGGAAGGCCTAGTAAACATCGCCTTCGTTTGTCTGGTATCTATTGGATTTGATCCAGGCACCTAAACAACGGCTGCTTCAAGTTTTCACATTCACTGTTCGTTGATATGGCACTGGCCTGGGCACAACGTCACGATGGGGAGGCAGGGCCCGGGAACACACAATAATTTGGCACCAATAGTACTATAGAAAGCTCAAGTTGGGAGCAATCAGCGTCAACTTTGTGCTCAAGAGTAAACTTGCCAATGCTAGTTTTGGTAGAAGCAGAGTGTTGGTTCCTGTGCAGAATTCTGCGGTGAACGCCCTGCTCGGTCTGCAGAATTCACCCTCCGCCAGTGCGGAGCCAAGCTGCAGAGTCAGTTTAAAAGCCCTGCAAGCTGCAAGAGCATGGCAAACTAGTTTGATGGCTCCAGAGGCAGCCAAGCAGCCGAAGCTGAGAAACCAGCCAAGGCTCACGGCACAAATTGGTTGCATCGAATAGCATAAAGCAAGCAGGGTGCATAAAGCATTGATTGTCATGCATCAATGGTCGAATCAATGGTCAAACATTCTCTCGGCGTCACGTTGACTTATATGTGTTATAGAATGACCAAGGGTGACTTGTCGCCTTCAGTTGTAGAGTCAAAGCTTTCGTCGTGTTTCACCTCGCTAGATTTCTTCAGGACAGCCTTCCAGAGGGATATTGCCTGGTCTTTACTTTGGTATGGGCCTAAGCAGCCAGTGCCAACTGCCAAGTGTATTTTCAAGCAAGTGGACTTGTACCAACTGCTTGAACTGTTGAAGCGATGGCTCGTTTTTGACATCTGGATATTGACAGGTCCTGCCAGATGGTCTGGGAGATTTGATTTTTGGAGAGAATGCTTGGAACCACAGAATTTGAATGCACAGAGATGGGATTTCGGTCACAATACCTCAAGGCTGTTGAAGAGCTGCTCGACCTGGGCCCTGTTGCGTGGGCTGCAGCCTTTGTTGTACTTCTGAAAGAGCAAAACTGCAGCCATGAAAAAAGCTGCGACTTCATGTGAAAGAAGTGCACGAGGAGACGTACAACAGGGGTAAAGGGCTCCAGGGTTTTGCAGCCGACTCTTTACTGTCACCTGGACACGGGTCCCGCGAGAGTGGAGGTTCCCATTTCCCAATTTTTGGAATGGAAAAGAAGTATGCCTTTGTTACTAGTAGCGTCCTTGCTCCTAGTAGCGGTGCCATTTGCTCCTAGTAGCGTCCTTGCTCCAATGTTGGGCCAATTGGGGCCCAGCCCAGGTCAGATGCCATGTGAGCGATGTCCTGCCCTCGAGTAGTGACACCAAGACAGAAAGGTTGGAGTCGTGAAGAAAGCATGAGCTTGGGGTAGATTTCCCTTCCATTCCGGAAGATGCTCCTATTCCTATTTGCATCGGGAGGTTGATTGGTTGATGGAATTTCGGAGTTTTTGGCAATCATTTGGAAAGCCATGTGGTATTGACCGGAGAAGCCCGATGGCTTAAAGCGCACACACTGCACTCTGTGGCTTAAATATGTGCCAGCCAAGCGTGGAGCTTCTAAATTCGGTGCCAAGAGTCCCAAGATAGCCTTCTTGCGTCCTTGTTACTACTAGTAAGGCACTTGTTACTAGAAGCGATGCACTTGTTCCTAGTAGCTTCTTGTTTCCTAGGAGCAAGAAGGCTCCTGGTAGTAAGGCCAGGAGCCCATCGTAGCGTCCTTGCTCCTACTTGTTTCCCTACTTCCCTCCTTGTATGTTTGCAGCTTGGCATGAAATGGTCTGGCCGGTCTTGTCAGTCCGGAACCGTCATTCTTTGTCGGCCTTGATTCCCCAAACAGCTTTCCCGGACTGAAATGGGATGAAATGGGTCTCTGACCCACATTCCGACTTTCACAGCTTGTCTGCCATTGTTTCACTCTATTTCTGCATTATTTATTTATATTTATTTTTGTGTTTGCTGACTCAGCTGTCATGAGATGACTTGTTTCTTGTATCTGATGCTTACGAAAGCAGTCTCACCCAACTTTCGTCTTTGGGTGGGACAGGCGACAATGGAAGACGAATCGGTCATTTCCTTTCTGGTCCCATTCTTTTCGACAAGAGCCACCCCAAAGTTACTGGGAGCCTGAGAACCAAGAGATTCTGGATGTTCTTCAAGCAGTCTGAGGAACAGCTCGAACCTGGCGAGCAGCTCGTTGCCAAAACAGCAAGCAAACTTTGCTTCAACTTGGCGCAGCCCTGGCTGATGAGAGCACATTCTGAATTTGGGAGAACTCAAGGGTGAAGCGATGTGAGCACAAATTGTGAGCACAGAACTCCAAGGGATATCCAGCCCAGCCAGGTCCTCTGGAAAATCAAGCCTTTGTCGAAAGATCAGCGCCTCGGAATGCCACAGCGTCACCGTTCGTCAGTGGCGGAGCGGAGCGTTCGTTGGAGGCCCAGAACGCTTGGAGAAGCTGTGGCTCGATGCGAAGCAGTGCTTTTTGGCACCGTGGATCTTCGGCCTTTCCGAAAACGACCAGGCCAGAGGCTGCCAGAGGTGTTTCGGGCCGTGCGGGCCATGCGCGTGGTTCTGTTTTGTTTTGTTTGGTAAAGGTTTCAAGGTTTTGACGATTCATATATAAGCTCTTGACTCCTGTTTTGAACGATTTTGCATCTTGCAGTGCAAGTCTAGAGGGTTTCTGTATGGAGTGGGATTTTGTCTGCATCAACTTACCTTCATCATATCTGTCACTGAAGAAGCAAGTCCGTTGTTCTACCCATGCCCCGCTGAAGGCTTTAATGCAAGAGTCTTGGTTCGATGTTGAACTGTGAAGTCTTCAGCTTCCTGCTGATTCGATGCTACTCTGGCTCTAGTTCAAAAGTCAACGAACATAGGTCATCATTGGTTTGTCAACAAGACATGCTTTTTGCCAAAGATATCGGCGTGGTACTTTGATAGTTTTTCTCAAGCTTAGTGGTAACTCTGCACGACCTGAGCCGTATGAATGGACACTCAGGCAGGCTTGCGAAGCTTGCGAAAGCACGGGCCTTCGTGCCAAATAAACTCGGTGACGAAACCAAGTCATTCTCAAGTCACGGCGCCGAGTCAACTGACGTGACAAGTTCTTCAGACGTGACAGGTGACCAAGTGGGGAGCTGAGACGAAACGGACCAGACCCCGTCGGGAACCGCCACACCTTCGTCGGGTGAGCTTCGCTCGCTCGACCCAGGTCGATGCCCTTCGGTCTTTAGACCCCCACGATGCCAAGACAGTGGCCAAGCAGCTGTGCTACCGGATTCCCGAGTCCAAGGCGCGAGGACGAAGAACGTTGGGATCCCGACGGTCCCAATCCCCCAAAGTTCGCTGAGACCTGCTTCGGCTTTCTAATCATTTATCTAGAAGGGGAATCCTTGTGGCTGCATCATCAGCCGAATCAGCACGATTGTACTGCCGTCATGGTGTACTTACAAGCTCACTAAGCCAGTGTGTTTGTCCGCAGATGTCTAGCGGCTCCTTTGTTTGAAGAGGTTCAAACAGTGCCCTACATCAGGCAAAGATCATGACCGGTAGCAGAAAGGGTCTTAGCCAATGCACAATCAAGAGGTAAAGGGTGAACGCAACATGTTGACATTCTGCTTCAGACTTCAAAGTAGCAACTTTCGCAAAGAAAGTGCAAGCACAACCAACAGTTCAGAAGAGTTTGATGTTCAACAAGTGACAAGTGATTTGAGGGCAGACCTGCCTTTTGCCTCCCGTGGTCGGTTGCCATGCAAGGCAACAATGCCAACAATCCGCGCATGGCTATGGGTAACATGTCTGGAATGATGCCCATGGGCGTGGGCATGCCCATGATGCCAATGGGCATGCCAATGGGCATGCCAATGGGGATGCCCATGATGAATCCCATGATGGCAATGCCTATGATGAACCCAATGATGGGCATGGGCATGAATTCCAATATGGGGGCAAATGCCAACATGAGCGCAACCCCAACGACGGGCACGAGCCCGACTATGGGTGGGTCTCAGCAGGTGCAAGGAAGCCCCAAGGTGCCCTCATCCGCTGCTGGCGGGGTTTCTCCTGGTCCTATCAAGCCCATGGCGGAGGCTCAGCACAGTGCTGAGCCGAGCAAAGTGGGATCAGGCATGTCAGGCATGTCAGGCATGCTGCAGCGTGAGCGGAGCCGCAGTAGAGATGTTGACCGGGATGCAGGGGGAGGTCCTAGCCAACAGCCTGAGGAGGAGCATAAAGAGCCACCAAAAGAGAAGTTATGTCCTCCCTGCCATTTGCACAATGTAAAGAAGCCCAATGCCAAGTGCAAGTTCTGCCAGAAGTGGCTAGCAAGTCAGAAGGCACAAGAGAAAGAGGAGAAAGAAGGAGAGCCAAAAGATGAGAAGGCAAAAATAAGTCAAGCACAGCAGGCACAGCTGGATGATGAAGAGGACTATTCCCGTCGCACATTCAAGTGCAGCACCTTGTTGAAGGATCAGATTTTCGGTTCCAGCTACTTCAAAAGCTTGTTAGAAGTTAGCGATCTCGAACCTCTCGCGGAAGAGATTGCCAAGTATGCTGACACGCTTGATGTTTACAATTCCGGGAACAATGTCCATCCGTCCTGCTTCATCTGCCAGGTGTACAGGCTCTTCACCTTGCCCCAATCGGAGGACTTGGATGGGCTTCTTGCAGTTCTTGATGCTAACCCATCTGCCAAAGTCCGTTGTGCAGGGGTTTTGTATGTCCGCTTTGTGGTGCCCCCACACAAGCTCTTGGAGAGGCTTGAGGAGATGCTTTTTGACGAGCAAGAGCTCAAGTATCTTGATGGTGACAAGCAGGTCACCACAACAATCCAAGAATATGTTGAGAACCTTCTGATCAGAGACAAGTACTACAATACACCTTTGCCCAGAATACCAGTGAAGGTTCGACAACATCTTGAAAAAGAGTTGGCGCCACTATCTCAATTTCGCAAGCGGATGGCTGCGATGCAGAAAGCGCTACCCAAAAAGGTCGCTGGAATGCCTGTTGAGGTGTATATCGATGGGAGCTGGCACCCGGGCCACATCAAGACTTTCATAGGACACCGCAGAAGAAGGGTAGGTGTGCATCTAGAGAATGGTGCTTTGATCAGTTCTCATTTAGGGAAAGTTATACTTCGAGATGGAGGCGAGAACAAGACTGACGAGAGGGATGAGAAGGATGAAAAGGAGAAAGGTGACGAGAAGGAGGGAGATGAGAAGAAAGAGAAGGATGATAGGAAGGAGAAAAGAGATTCTGATCACAGACCGAGCAATAGCAGAAGTCGAAGCCGCCGAAGCAGCCGCAGCAGGCATCGCAGCAGGAGTCGCAGGCATCGCTCTCGCTCACCTGATTGGACCCGATATAAGGGTTCGATTGCAGACCAAAGTGAGATTGAACGATTGCGGGAAAAGGCCCGTGAAGAGGCAGTGGTTGGCGTGGGCAAGGTCTACTCCAAAAGACCCACCACAGTTGAGGGTGAGATGTGGCGTGGAAGTGGAGGAGATGTTCGCGTCTCTATGCTTGGCCCCCAACATAGTAGTAGTACAGGTTCCAGACCCTTGACAGCGCAAGGTCATTCTGATCCTGAAGTGCGGACCAGGATTTCGCTGGAAGAAGAGGCGGAACACAAACGGCGAATGCGGGAGATCTATGAGAAGTATGGCTCTGTGTCGAAAGCTACTTCTGGAAGCAGCGGTCAACGCTCAGAGATCGAGCAGCCAGATGTACTTCGCTTGGGCTGAGAGGGCATAGGGAGCATCCAAAAACATTTGGCCAGTGGAAAAGCACGGTCCATGCAGTGGACAGAGTTTCGTGGTTTGTGCAAGTTCTTTAACCTTCCAAGTTCTCTAACCAGATGGGTCGATTGAGTGGAATGGACCGAGTGGTTGGTGAGTGCCAAGGATTCCCTCTACTTCATTTTGCGTGGCCTTGGCCTTCCTGTGACAGGAGAGTTGGGGTGCCCAGCACGTTTCCGTTTTGAGTCGAGGCTAGATTTTCACTCTGGCCTTTGACGTCAGCCGTTCCTCTCAAGCTTACAAAGTGGGGGCTTGAAGCTCCAAATGTAGATAGATAGTCTTATTGTTGAAGTGACTGGCATTTCATGTTTGCTCTTTGCGGTCCAGGGTTTGACCTGCCATATACATAGTACATGGACTGAAAGGTTTGACCTGACATGCATCATATTCAGTGGTACTGGTACTAAGAGGATGTTCTCATCACTGCGACTGCAACACAGCATGCAACTGATGGCTCCTCGGACACTGTCATTGGCCCATGCATCGAACTGCCAGAAGAGGTTCTTCGAAGGACTGATGCCATGCAACTGCCATTCCGTCCATGTTCTTAGTGACTTTCACGTTTCTTGTTGCTGGTTGTGAGGGGTACAGTGGTTGACTCCTACTACCTAAGTGACTTGAAGATATCTAAGGCCTTTTTCCATGCGGGTGTTCCTTGTTTCTCAAGCCTTGCGGTCAGGCCAAGCTGGAGGTGTGAGTAGTGAATGAAGTGAGTGTGTGGTGGTTGCACAGGGTCATTTTGGCAAGGTGGACGCAGCACAGCGTGGGGAGATGTAAGGTTGAATCTGGTGTGCCGGTACAGAAAGAAGATGAAAGAAGCGTTGGGATTGATGTTTGCATTGGAGCGTGCATTGTTGTAAGGTGCTAGAGATGCAAGTGACAGCAAAAAGCATTCGTAGCATTATTTTGGGTGCCAGGCGGTCATTGTGGGTCAGAAGATGGCAACAGCACGGAAGGAACAGGAAGCCTCGCAGCTGTTTTGCTTCTGCTCTGCTGCTGCGGTGCTGCGTTATTTGAGTGGGAGGGCTGATAAAGATAAATACTGTTGTTGAGGCTATATTCGTGGGCACGTTTTGAGCGTGGAAGGGAGAAAGCAGCAACACAGAAGGAACACAGAGTTCGGCTGCTTTGCTGCTGCCCTGCTGCTCTGATGCTCTCTTGGTGTGTTGCTTGGACTGATCCGGATCAGCGCGTGAAATACTACAGTACAGTTATTTTTTCTGCTGAGTGCCTAATGAGTGGCAGTTTTCTCTTCACTCAGCCACAGCCTACATCCTGGTCCAGATGTCCTGACAGTAGAAGGGCACGGCATTGTAACATTTGCTGCGTGCATTGCACGATGATAAAGTGATTCTGTGGAGGGTGAAATGATGAACTCGGGGCACCTTGACTCTCTCAGATCGGGGCACAATTTCGCTTCCCTTCCTCTTCTTCTTGTTCTACGTGTTCCTTCGGTGCTGTTGGACCAAAGATAACCAAGCTGAGCCAGACTCACAGCGTTCTATATACAGTATTCCGCCTTCTTCCCATGATGTCCGTGAATATGACCTCAAGACCACTTTCTCCAGGTCTTCTTTTGGAAAAGGGAGGAGACAAAAGCCAGCACCGTGTGAAATAAGTCTGTCCTGCGCGGGGTGGCTTTGGTCTCCTTCCTTTCCAGGTATAAGCCTTAAGGCAAGCAAACTTATTTGGTTGAGGCACGGCAACCAAGACTCCGGGACTCCGTTTTTTGTGGCAGCTTTATGTCAGGGTTTTTGGGTGAGAACCACCAAGGTGGAGGCACAGATTTGCTGTGGAAAAACAAAAGTGTTCAGAAATCCTCCTAAAGAATCAAGCACCTGTTGTACCTACTAAGTGCTACAATGGTCAAGGCTGACCTCCCTCCTCAATTCACTGCCGACCCTTCAGGCTTGGCTGCCAGCTTTAGTACTTGTAGTCGAGGTGCTGGTGCGCCCTACAAGTATAAGAAACTTGGCAGCTTTTTGAACTGTGAACATGTCGAAACAGATATTCAGCTCATCACTCTTTTTGTTTTCAGAGGATCCTTGTTTGTGTGCAGCTTCACAGATGTGGGCAACAAAATCGGCGAGTTCGAAGAACTAAGGCAAACCTTTGAGTTCTCAGGGCTGTTTTGCAAGTCTGAGTTCTGGATCCCAACGAGAGGACTTTTGGCCAGATGACTCCTGTGCTTATGTCATCAACCTGGCGCGGCGACCTGATCGACTTCGACGACTTCACAAACTCTTAGCATCAACCAATCCCAGCCTCATGGACAAGTTGCAACGCCCTCTTGGTTCTCAGATTCACAAGTTTTTTTTCTTCGCATTTTTCTCGAAGTCTCTTTTTGGTGTAACTCACTTGTTCACAACTGTTCTGTTTGATCGCCGAGTGACGACTGTTTGATTCTTAGCCTTTATAGATCTTTGTAGTATACTGAGGTATTGATGCTGTTGATGGCCAGAATATTTCGTTGGATTCGTTACATGCTAAGCGCGTGGTTGAAGAATCCGCTCTAATACGCGCAAAGCGAGCACAGCGGTTGGGCTTGTATAGCATTGTTCATGACGCAGAGAACAATCTGGTGAATTTCGACGATCATTTGACAGAAGGAGCAGTAGCCTGTGCAATGTCTCACTACAACGCTCTCAAAAAGGTGGCAGAGCATCCGGCAGATTGGGGCCTAATCCTCGAAGATGACCTGTCTCTGGCAGTCCCTTATGTTCACCGAGAGATTCGCGGAATTCTGAAGCAGCTGCCTTTGGATTGGACAGCTGTGTTTCTTGGCTATCACAACAAGTATGGCCGTCCTCACCCTCGCGCTGTCAATTCAACAGGGAATTGGTCTGATGACGGTGTTGAGAAGGCGTGATCTCGTGTTTGCAACACTTCAAGTTCCAACGATTGGTTATCAAGACTTTGCAGATCTACAAGTACAACGTACGCTGTACACCCACTCTCGTCGAATCTCACCAAAGTACGTGAAGGTTTCCAAGTTTCCCGGACGGCCGCCCCTGGCAGTAGTTGACAGGTGTTCACCTGCCAGTAGTTAAACACCTGTCAACTACTGTCAGTTGAAAGGTAGATACAGTAGATAACCACCACAAGGGCTCATTTTAGTGTTGTCAATTATTCCATTGATTTGGTTTTGTGGAATCCTTTTCCCTTGATGTTGGGGGGATTTGGGTGCTCCCGGCGTGAAAGATTCTTCTAGCGAATCTCATGCAACAAAAACAGCATTTTTGAAGCCCAGAGGAGCCCATCTTTGAGATCCACGACCACTCTTGGGGCTTATACGCATGGATGGTGAAGAAAGATGCCGCAAAGTCGCTCATTCAGAATCTTTTTTCCGTACCTTCGGCCAAAAAAGAAGTGCCAAAAGTCTACAAAGCATTGCTCCTAGTAGCTTCTTGCTCCTAGTAGCGATGCCAGTTCCGAAACAAGGATCAGCAGCCAAGTTGACTACGCCATTTCCAGATATCTCATCACCACGCCGCTTAGCAAATGGATAGGTTCAGCACTTGAAAAGCATGTCCTTCCAAGATTGATCTTTTTGCAGTGCACAAGGGTTGCGACAAGAGTTCTGCGAAGCCTTGTGGCCTTCCTCTGTCCTTCTTTGGGGTATGACAACATTTGTCAACACTCTCAGGCACGGTGGCGTCTATAGTGTGCATCCTGACCGTTTGTTGTTCTACAGTCCAACAAGTGCCTGGCCAGGGGATAGTTGATGCTTTTGGGTTCTTGTGCTCGTTTTAGCACCACAAACTTCAGCACGTAGGCTCTTCCAATCTGCAGACTCTTCGAAGAAAAGAATCACTCTTCAGACATGATGAATTGAATAAAACTGCTTGAGCAGTCCAGGTGAAGAAGGTCAAGACTCGGATATTCAATCGATGCGGAGTGAGGAGGAGGTGGTCCAGGAATTCGGCTCGTGGCACGACTATCTTGAACTGCAGAGGCCTGCCGTCGACTCCCAGGATGGCAACGCCTTGTGAGATTCTGATACAAAATGCTATCCAACCTAATTACTAGCGATGGCCCCTCCTATCTGTGGTCTATGTCGTCTATGCTGATGTGTCACACAGGCCGAGCTCGTACGACGAGTTGGCGACCGAGGATCGGGCTACAGTAAGTCCTTGGATGTGTTTGGATATATCATGCGCCCACGTCATGTGACATGTCTCCAACTGCAAGATGGGTTGGACATGGTTGGACCTAAAATCTTTGATCCGGTGGGTTTGTGTCGCAGGACCTCTATGGTTCTCTGGACGAGGACTGGCCTGAGGCTGAATGGAGCCCTTGAGTTTCAACCTCACAAGATCAGACTGCCTGTGTGCAATCGAAAAAGGGACGTGAGGAATGAGCTATACCTCGAAATTGGATGTTTGAGATAGTTGCGTCGGCGGCAAGATTGTTGCCAGCTGGTCTTGCAAGTCTTATATAGATCCTTCTGCCAGATTTTGCAAAGCTTCTGAGTAGGTTGCCAGGTGCTGATTGAGCTTCTTGTGCAACACGTATCGGGCGGAAGGTTAAGGCAACACCTCCCAGGGTTGTCCAGGTTCACCGGAGAAAGATTTGCGTCCTTTTCCCAGGCTTGGATCAACACCCCGAGTCGAAGTGGATGCCAAAGAGTATCCGACACTCTGGAGAGCTCTCGATTGTACGGAGCCCCGAAGCACAGGTCGAATCAACTTGACTCCAGTAGTTTTTGATTGCCCAACTGTCTAGAGTCTAGCTTTCCATGTGGTGCAACATTGTACTTCTGGGCTGAGCTTCCTTGATGTTGCTTTTTGAGATGAGATTCATGCTGCGATGAACGGCAGAGGTCTTTTCCAAAATGGCAGATATTTTAATGGTTCATGACAAAGCTTCATTCCTTGTCGTGAAACGACAGGGTTTTCCCACTGCTGTCTAAGCTCGCTGACGTTCCAAGCACCGTATCCAGAACTGTTTCTATCTCATCGAGCACAGCTCCTTTCACCCAGTTGGGTGTGTTTTCCTTTCGATCTCATTGCGCAAGTAGGTCCCAAACTAGACCAAGCTTTTCTTATGTTTCCGGGTGCCCACAGTTTAGCGCCCTACATGGTAGAGCAGCATTCGACCAGGGGTGCATGGCCGATCGGCAGACCTCCTTGCTCCTCCATGGCGTTGCTGATGCGCTCCCCTCGCTGTTGGGGCCATCGTCTGTCCGCCTCGCAGCACTGGCGAGAGGCATGTTCAAAGGTGTGCATAGTTTTGTTCACTGATTTACATCCTTATTCTCAACCCTTCTGCATCAGTAATTTGGTGCCCGGCCTTGGAGGTTTTCGTGCAGTTTTTGAGCTTGTCAAGGCACGAAAAGAGGGACACAGGGAAATCATGAGAAATCACGGAAGGGTCTTGCAGAGTCTACACAGTGGCCCCATCAGCTCAGGTTCGGCGTTCTTGTTTGGCTGAACAACCATGGCTCTTGGTGACCACAGAAGACGCAAGCTTTGCTCTCCGGACAGGTGACGATGTCTTGAAGGGGGTGAGGCGACAAATTCCTGACACAGGGGTCATCTCAAGATGCTTAAGCCAGATTCAAATCTCAGAAAATGTGTTACTGAAGTATATGAAGTAAAACAGTTTGTTGCCTTGTGCTATATACTACATACGTCTCTATAATTCTCTCTCTCTCTCTCTATCCCTCTCTCTCTCTCTCCCCCTCTCTCTATATACACCCATGTGGTATATTACTATGTGTACTTTACGTCATGTTTGTGTTTTGTGCTGGAGGTGATGGCCTGTTGATGCCATGGCCAAGTGATTTTCAAGTGGATGCCGTGCTGTGTGTTGCCAAGATCCAACACATCTTTGCCATGTCTTCAGAGACTTGAACGCTACTAGGAACAAGAAGCTACTAGGGGCTCCTGGCCATACTACTAGGAGCAAGGACGCCACTAGCGGCTCCTGGCATCGCTACTAGGAACAAGGACGCTACTAGGGGCTCCTGGCATCGCTACTAGGAGCAAGAAGCTTGGTGGAAGAGCCACTCGTTTGCCTCGGCGATCTGCATGGACGAAGCACCTCGCGGTGCACGACGACCTCGTCGACTGAGGAAACCGCAGATTCGAAGCTCTGTGCTTGGGACCAGTGGGATGGCCAGACAAAATGGCAGGTTCAGACTGGTCGGAAACTCTTGCGTCCGCTCTACTTCCTAGCTCCCCCGCAGCATTTGAATCGGGTTTTGAGACTTTTAGATTTGTGAGGTTAAACATTGGGGTGAAGCAGCCCCGCGTTGCTGACACCTTTAAATACCAGCACATACTTTAAAAGAACATGTTGTGTCATGCCAAGATTGGCTCAACTCAACCAAGGACAATATCTGTGCCCTTTGTGCTGGTTGCTTTGAGGGTGTTCTTCTTTGGGACGCTCTTAGTGGTGTGAACCTCCGACAACTGGCCACGCCGCTACCAGCAGACCGGATTTGGCTACATGGCTGGTGGTCAGGGGGGAAGCAAGGTGTAGAGATGTGCACAGTTTGCAAATAACCTGGATTTTAAGATATTCACGTGCGGAATTGCTTGAAGAAAGTGGCAGTAGCAAACTTGGTAGAAACATCATTCCTTTCTAAGCTGGGGTAGGTGACACAGATGTGGTAGATCCTAGAGGTCCCAGAGCAGCACAGGCTCCTATCAGAGATGTCTACAGGTACATGACGCCTACTCAACCTAGACAGCTTGAAGCCGGCATACTGAGGTACTTTGATGAGTAGCTTGACAGCAATGAATGCTGTTCGCTGTGTCGACATGCGTTTGGCTTGTAGACCTGTTGGCTGCTTGTGCTGAAGGCCCAACTTGCTATGTGCACGAAGCAGTGAAGTCTTGGGGCTCACCTCGCAGCTGCTGGTTTGGAGCACATGCAAGTGGCAGACAGACTTTCAGCACATTATAAACTATATATATATATATGTATGCTGTATATTTTTTGCAAGAGTCGCTTGAGCATCGGACTGAGAAAGCTCGTGGAGGATTAATGGTGTGACACCCTCATACAGTAATATTAATGGTGACATGTTGTTGGAGATTCCTTTCTGTGGGTTCCCCTCTTTTTCGCCATCAGCTTTGATGCTTTGCTTTGATGAGGAAAAGACAACTGAGATTTCATGGGAGAAGACCAGTACCGAGATGATTATGGCCGTCACTTGTAACCATCGGCACCTGTTTGCCCGCTTGGGTGCAACAATACATGCCTGGGATGCTACGACTGGCCGAGAGCTTTGGAGGTGGAAGGAGCTGCTTGAAATAAAGTAGATAGTGGTATAGTGGTCCTCAAATAGATAGAAACGGTTTCCAATTACAGATTGTACTTTTCTATCTATTTGGGGGTCCATATACTTGTTTTTGAATTTTTCAGTCTCCCTTCTTCAGCCAAAGCACGAAAGTTGTGGGTTGACATAGAAGCGTGAATCCATTATCTGCTGTTGACATCAAGATGGGTCACGAGTACATCACACAGCCCTTGCTCCCAAAGTAGGACTGTTGATATGTATATATATATACACACATTTATCTTGCCGGGTTTCACTTGAGACAGCGAGTCATTTCAAGCATTCCATTAATTGAAATTTTTACATGAAATCCCAGACCATTTACTTCTTCTTTGTTTGATTGGCTTGGGTACCCACCACTCGACTCAGCCCACATTTGATCCACGAGGCCTGTATTCACTTGGATCTCACTGTAACTTGCCACCTTTGCTTTGTGATTGCAGTCTCCTGCAGAATGCACACCAAACCTGTGCTTCAAGTTGTATTCTTTGGCCAGGCGCAAGTAGCAACACCACCAACAAGAACACACCACCGACCAAAAAAGAGATTGATAGACGGTCTGACGGTCTGCGGCTGTAACAGCCTAGCATCAAGTGCGTTTGCAACTTCCAAGGAACGACACCACCCCACCCCACCCTGGCCTGCGTAGTCAAGCGTGTCTCAACTACACTAGCGCTCAAAACGTTGACCTAAAGTGATTAAATGGAAGAGTGAACAATACCATATTATAAAGAAGTACAAAAATGTTTAGAATATGTCCAAAGCCAACTGTCCCCACGCATAAAATCAGGGATGGCCGGATACGGGACGTGGACCACCCAGAAGGAAGATGGCTGATATTTCTATGTTTTTGCACAGGTAATTGGAACTGAAGCATGCAGTCGAGGCAGATGCTGCCGCGCTTGCCAACTGTCCCCACCCAGATTCAGCATGTGAGTGGCAGACTGTATGTGGCCGCAGGCCATTTCATTTTTGCTTTGCAACTCGGCGCTAGTTTTTGACCAGAAAACTACATCAAAATGTATGCACAGCGCCACATCCACATTGCTGAGGGATGTGGACAGCGGGGGTTTGCTCTTCAAAATTGCGCACCTCAGCTCATATGTGTGGGTCGTTGATCAGCAATGGGCGGAAAACATCGTTTCAAAGCCATTGTCACATACATTGTACGCAATTTGAGAAGAGCGTCGTTTCTCGCTTTGGCGGTGATTTCTGCGAGTTTCAGGACTGTTGGGTCTGTGGTCAAAGCTTTCCCTATCGATGCTTCCAGTACTTGCATGGTGTCTTGGCGAGCAAGGAGGGAACCCTTTTAGATAACTTTTGCTGGGCTCACTTCGAGTGGCAGACAATCTGTCAAATGGCAACGGTTCCGGCCAGCCTCTAGCTCCCATGATTCTTCGCAGCAGCTCTCTAACGAAAGCAACGCACACCACACAAATTGCAAACACGCGCACACACCCACACAGACACATTCACGGCTCTTGCTCCTCTTGAGGCCTCTTTGATCAGATCCAGTGGCTATGCCCTGGGCTTTTTGGACCTGTCTCAAGGCATGGTATAGACATCGCTGTTCAAGTGACATGCGGCCTGCAATAACTCAGTCAGGTGCTTTGCAGCTGGCAACGTTGAAAAGGGGCGAAATTCCCAAGACATCAATCACATGGAAAAGCTTAGCACCTTGGCTCGAGTTGTTGATTAACGCTTTGGACCCCATGCAGACTGTGTGACATGAGTCAGTCATGAGGTCATTGTGGCGATCACTTGGGATTCATGTGATGATGGCAGCGCCTTATTGGCGTGGGACTTCTCAAATGGAAGCTTTCTTTGGGACACATGCTTTGAGAAGACTCTGCAAAGTCTCTCATCAGACAGCTGCTGCATTTTCGCAGGGGGGCGTTGATTTTGTCTCCGCTGTGAATCCGCATGATGGGTCCCTGCTTTGGGCGACTGAAATTGATGGGATGGCCAAAGCCTTGACCTTGATCTCACCACAGCGGAGGAAAAATGCGTTTCCAAGCAGTTCCGAGCAGTCAAGAAAAGTGTCAGTGGATGGTCAATACTTTGATTTGCACCCTTCTACTCAGGCATTCTGCTTTGTCTTTTCTTTGCGCTTGGCACAAGGCTTACGTGTTCCTCATGATGGCAAGCTCATGGTCATCAAGGCGGAACTGTGGCCGCTTCTCTTTGCAGATTCCGACGTCTCTGGATGTCAAAAAGCAGAAAGACGATGAGATGTTGAAAAGGAGCTACACCCCAAAAGAGCACAGTAGCATGACAACAATGCGTGAATCAAGACTCATTGTGTCTGACACTGTTCAGTTGAAGGCTGAGAGCCCATCCTTAGATGCATTGTGTGGGAAGCCCGCTGAGAAAAGAGGCCTTCAATGCGGTTGCTTGTCGTCACTTGTGAGAGAAGCTTTCTCATGTTTGTCAGAACATGCCTGGCATTTCTGTGCGGTTGAAAATGGATAAGACGCATTTGCAGGTGTGCAGCGGCCGACTTCTGCAGTGAAAGGCCAACCCCCCTATGCCGTATGCCATCCGAGCCTCTAGAAACTCAGTCGAATGCACGCACTACACCCCCACAGCTTTTTGTGTTGGTGCAGTACCATTCATGGACCTGAGCGACTGGGCAATTGTGCATTGATGAAGCTGAGCGACTGACCTTAACAATGGGCAAACAAACGTGGCGAGCCACTCGTTTGGGCCCACTCGTGTGGCGAGAGAGCCCTGACAGGTGGCCCACCGGCACCACCGGCACCTGAGCCAAGAGAGGAGATTGAGCCGATCAGGCCAGCCGAGATTGAGCCATCTTGAGTCTTGGTTGGCTTTTTGATTTGGTTACTTTGTTTGTTCTCTCTTGTTTTTGGACTCACCTTCTGCCAGGTTGTGTCTTGACCTTTTTCTTGCTTGGGCCGAGGTCAGTACCAAGTTCCCGACCACAGTCTGCGTCCTGCGCTGAGAACGTCGCTTCTGAAGGTCTTGGTGATAGTTTCAGAAAGTTCAAGGCTTGAGCTTATCTCTAGTGTCTTTAGTGCTGATGCCTTTACACTCAAGGACCCTGCCTTCACTTCACTGCCATTTTTCGTCCAAACCACCAGAAAGGAACATCTCCAAGTGTACACATACAAGTGAGGCAGCCTTCACAACTGTTGAGTTGCTTTACTTTGCTTTTGTGTTGGAAAAGACGGGGTGACAAGAACCATGTTCATGATAAGCTTTACTTTGTGCAACATATGCAAGCCACAGGAGCTGTTTGCCACGCTCTTCTATATACATATATGTTTATACTTGTTTGTAATGAAAAAACACCTACAAACCTACAAAGATCCTGCAAACCGCTTTTGGCATCCCAAGGCAGCGCTGCTCCAGCGGGTATCCTTCAACCTCATTACCAAAGCTACTTGCTCTTCCAGGGCATGCAGGACAGTGGAGGTGGAGAGTGTGCACGTTTCAGACATTCTGTCATCACGGCACATGGTGCTGAGGTTCCTCTAGGCATCTACGTCCCTTCAATCTTGCGGTGTATTGCTTTCTCATATTCGTTGAATCCCAGACCTTAACACCCTCACACATCATGTGATCACCGCGATGCCTCCCCCTTTGTTCTGGCTTGTGACACGTCTTTTTGCTCGACCCATTCTGAAATGTACAATTTCTTTATCACCTGCGATGTTCAATGGCCGTTCTGTTATGCCTTTTTGGGGCTCCATGCTTTACCACAATGATCATTACTTGTACTGTGATGGTGGCAAACAATAGCAAGCAAAGCTTCAAAATCGTGCCAGGGTTTGCAATCTGTCGCCAGGCGGATCCAAACTCCTTCTTGCACGAGCATGCTTGGCAACAAGCACCTGTGCCACAGGCACCTGCTCAGTTCATACAGCGTCAACCAGATGTTAGTGCGAGTTGCCGCTTGTGGCATGCTAGTTGGTGTGGAATGACCTCAGCATTAAGGGCTCAAAAGCAAACTGAAAGCCTTTCCCACCGTTTCCCACCATGGCTGAGGGCCGAGTGTACAACTTCTCAGCAGGACCCAGTGCCATGCCACTGGAGGTGCTTGAGGAGGTTCAGCGCGAAATGGTGAACTACAAAGGTTGTGGCATGAGCGTCATGGAGATGTCGCATCGTTCCAAGGAGTTCATGGCCATTGCCGCCGAAGCCGAAAAGAATTTGAGGGATATCTTTGGCGTTCCAAGCGATTACAAAGTCCTCATGATGCAGGGAGGAGCGACTTTGCAGTTCTCCTCGATTCCGCTGAACATGCTCGGAAGCAAGACCAAGGCCGACTACCTTGTGACCGGGCAATGGGGTGAGAAAGCACACAAGGAGTGCAACAAATATGGGACAGGACAGTTAGCGTGCAACACCAAGGGGACCAAGTTTACCACAATCCCTCAGAAATCAGAGTGGAAGTTGGACCCAGAGGCAGCATATGTGCACTACTGTGCCAATGAGACGGTCAACGGGGTTGAGTTTAGCTACACCCCAGATGTTGACACCGTGCCTCTGGTGGCTGACATGTCATCCAATTTCTGTTCCAAGCCTATTGAAGTGAGCAAGCACGCCTTCATTTATGCAGGCATCCAGAAAAATCTGGGGCCTGCCGGCATGTCCGTGGGATTCTTACGGCCCGACTTTGCAGATGGCAGCAAGGAGTTGAAGATTTGTCCCACCTACTGCAGCTTCAAGACCACAGGTGACAATGGATCGATGTATAACACACCTGCCTGCTTCACCATGTACGTCATGGGAGAATACTTGAAGTACACCAAGAAGCTGGGTGGTTTGGCCTATTGGGCAGAGCAGTCGGACAAAAAGAGCGGCTTGCTGTATGGGGCCATCGACGGCTCAAATGGCTTCTACAATTGCCCAGTTGAAAAGACTGCAAGGTCACGAATGAACGTGCCTTTCACGATCAATGGTGGCGATGAAGCTCTTGAAAAGAAGTTCTTGGATGAAGCCAAGAAGCACAAGCTCTATACCCTTGCGGGTCATCGTTCAGTGGGTGGCTGCCGAGCTTCCCTTTACAATGGCTTGCCTCTTGAGGGTGTCGCCAAGCTCACCGACTTCATGAAGTCCTTCATGGATGAGAACCGAAAATGAGGGAAAAGCACTCACATGTAGAATGTTTCTAGGCCACGGGTCACCAACTCAGAGTGCAGCTTTTAGTTTGTTCCTGGGTGATCTGGAGGGTTTCTCAGGAGTCTTTTGACAGACCAACTGAAGTTGGTTCTGCAGATTTAAGCTTTTGGAGCGGAAATCTCATTCTTGGCAGAGGGAAAAGCTATATGATGTGGGTGTAGTGGAGGAGGTTTTTGCTAGCTTGCTCCTTCATGAATGGCTGAGGTGACTCTGTGTGGACCATTTTACATTATTGGCAAACTCCTCGCAGTAGTTGGTACAGTAGTAGAATGCCAAAGCGAACGGGTCTGGGGAAGTGGGGAGATGAAGTTGTCCTGGCTTTCAGCAGGCGCCCATGTATCCAGTTGGCCCAACTCGTGGAGCACTTGGGCTGGATGTGAACACTCCAAAGACGCACGTTTTTTCATTTTCGACTTTCTTCAGATTGCACTTGCTGCAATTCAACCGCAGCCATATTGGTTTATATACATTCACAGACAGACGTGCCACAAGCAAACACATAGGAGCCCACACTTATCAATCTGTTGCATATGTTTTGTAAGCTGAAAGCCATTGCTCCTCTTGATGCTTTACATGCTACAACTGAGATGAGATGAACCAGGCCAATCTTGCGTGGAGATGAATCAGAAGGGTCAGAATCAGAAGGGTCAGTATTGAGAAATTAACAGTAAGGTATCTCCGTGAGAGGCAGTCTTGGTGCCGGTGCTGATCGTTGCTGGAATATCTTTGGTGCTGCTCGTTCTCTTCAGTTTTGACACCTTGGAGTACCAGGCGCGCGGGTTAGGTTGCAAGCTTCTGTCTCCTAGGCAATGTACACACCTGCACATTTTCCCCTTGCATCTTTCAAGTTTTTGTCAAGCTTAGATTTCTGAAACGTTTTTCCCTAAGCCGCTTGTTGGCATGGGGCTGATAGCCTCCGCAAAAGAAGTAGGTGGGCTGTTGCCGTGTTTGGAGAGAGAAGATCAACATATTTTTACGTGTATTGGCATGCAGACTTGCTCGGGGACGCTGTGCAAGGAGTATGGATTGAACTATAGTAAGCTTCTCAACAGCAAGTTGGTCTGGGGATGACTCAGAGGACAAGTAGTAGAGGCCTTGTGTCATCTTATTTTTACCAAAATGAAGGTTGCATGGTCCAGCTACACTACTCGAAGTCTCGACGACACTTGCTTTTCTAAGGATCAGCGAGACGGTTGAGAGACATCCGTATACGAGCGGCAGATACTATTTGGGAATTGCCAATCATTTCATTCGATTTCCTCGGATGGATCCTTGACTCACAGTGAGAAAAGCCCATCTCTTGGTCCTCTCCTTGCGTGCTCCGTTGAGACTAGCGCACATTGAGGTGAATTCCGTTCTCTTCAGTGATGAGGATGCTGGGAAAAAGCAGGGGCCTGCTCTACAGAGCCGAACTCGAGATGGCCTGAATGTCAGACTCGAGGCACAATTTAGTTCCAAGAGCGTTCGGATCTGCTGACAGAAGGAGTTATGGGCGAAACAGAACGTCGGGCGAAACAACCGGAAAAGCTTTCCTTGCGCGGTTCAAGTCATCAGGTTTCTTTTCAATACAGATTAAAGTTTGATCGGGTCTACGATCTCTACGCAACCCTTGGAAGCGATTATGAGCCGCACCTCGCATGCAGATGAGGCAAACCTGTGAGAGCCGTTGAGCACGGGGAGATACTAGTAGCTTCTTGTTACTAGTAGTAAGGCCAGGAGCTACTAGTAGCGTCCTTGCTCCTAGTAGCGATGCCCTTTGTTACTAGTAGCGATGCACTTGTTCCCAAGCTGTTCAACCACGGAGCAAGGACATTCTTGCGTATGGCAATCGAGCAGCTGGCCACAGCGGCCACGAACTTTAGATGCAAAGAACTGTTTTGGGTGCCTAAGTGTTTTGCAACGTGTCGGATTGCGGCAGTTTTGCTGAGTTTTTGTTTGTTCCTTATCCAGGGATCACTCTGCGCACTTCTTTTTCACCAATCGCACGGCTATCAGTGCCCCAGCTGCAGACAAGACTCCCGGATGAGCATGGTGGGCCAATACGGGCCAATGCGATAGATCAGTTGATGGTGTCCTGAAAAGTTGACCTGAACTGTTGCAGGTGCGGTGATGCATCAGAGACTTGATGATCACTTCCAGGAGAAGTGTCAAGCACAGAGGAAAGAAAGGAAAACAGAAAGGTCTGCAGATCTAAAGAAAAGCAAAGGAAAAAGCAAAGGAAACAAGCAAGAAGAGAAGGAATGAGATGGGATGAGGATTAGGATTTGGATTGGAATGGGATTGGACGGGGAAGGGAAGGGAGGATCGAGAGAAAGAACGAAAAAGAGCAGATTGACTTCCAAGAGCGATATTTTCAGGGAAAGGACTCAGGAAATTCATCATCGATATACATGATGTGGTTTGTCAGAGAAAGAGTCTTAATGTTGTGAGCTGTTGAGCGAAGCAGGAGAGAGCCTTCTCGGAGGTGCCTTTCTTTCAGCTCAGGACGCACTTGAAACGCTTCCCCACATAGGAGTCTGACATGCTCAGCACAAATCACCTCGAAAGGAGAGTTTTCCTGAGGAAGGCAAGTTCCAAAGTGCATATCTTTGAGCAACCAGGACTGTGCATTTGCCGCATGACTTTGAGGAGGCCATCCGAGAAACACAGGTGAAGCAGCAGGAGCAGCTTGCAAAGGTTGGCTGCTTGATTTTATGGCTACCCTGGACAGCCGCTGCAGGACATTCAGATAGCTACCCTGGAGCAGAAGACCAAGACGGTTACCTTCAAGATACCCGATTGCAGTTTCAGGCAAGTACACCTAGTGCGCCCCCAAAAGGCACCGTTTCGTATTTGCATGTTTGTTGCGCTTGCGGGTGGGCGACAATGGTCCACATCTCCGTAAGAGATCGTAAGAGTAAATGTTTATCCCACGCACAGGACGTGTTTGATCGCGCTTGCACCATGGCATTTTTTTCGAATAGTTTGGTCCGAACACTGAACACCGTCTAAGACGACATAGCGGCCCTACATCAGAGCTTTTCTCGGATCTTGGAGATGCCAGTTTGCTGTGTAGTTCTCGCATCTTTGTGCAACCGCATGAGGACTCGAGTTCTACAGGCGGAGCAGGATGTAAAGGTCTTGGTGAACCAGGCACACCACTTGCGGCACACCACTTGCAAACAGCTTGATGTTTGACTCGTTTCTCAGAGACATTTTACTGCTTTGCCCCGTTATTGGACTTGTTTTTTGCTTTCACAGTGGCTCAAGCAACCCGAAGAACATCGCTTCAGGGTCTGACCGAGGCCATGAAGCCGCAGCTGGGCGCTGCCCTCGCCTCGTTGGCGCTCCTCGCCTCGTCGGTGTTGACCGGATGCAGTGACGACAAGTCTCAAAAAACAACTACGCCAAAGCCAGGAGAGTCCACCACCACAAGGAACCCAGATACTCCTGCAGGCCCCATTGACTGCCCAGCAGACCTCAATCGTGGCCACTGTACCAAGTGTTACTACTCTGGTGGTGCGGAAGGAGAGACTACTTGCCAAGAGTGTTCCTCTCCGTACAAGCTCTCCGATAAGACCAAATGCGTGGTGGCCTGTAGCGACATGCCCAAACCGGCAGATAAACCGGGCATGCCTGACACTGCGCAGTCGTACAACGGCATGACTTGGCCATCCACCTGCTTTGACGACGAGGAGATCCACTTCTTCACCGTGGGAGACTGGGGAGGAGTCTGCTCCTGGACAGATGGAAAGTGCAGTGATGCCAGCAATCCCTATGCTGGTCAATTCCCGGAACTCAAGGGCAAGCCCTTCCCCATGCCAAATCGAAAGGGTGCACCCCTACAGGAGCCTGTAGACTGGATGGCACAGAACTTGGTGGCGACTCGCATGAAAGAGAAGGTCGAGGAGCTGAAAAAGAATGGCCAAGCTCCGAAGTTCGTGCTGAATGTCGGGGACAACTTTTACCCTGGCGGTGTGGATGCGCATTGTGACAATGGCTCACCACATGATGCGGTCTTCACCCAATCTCAGTTCGCACAAGTCTTTGAGAAGATGTATCCTGTGGACGATGTTGGCGACATCGAGTGGTGGAGTGTCTTGGGTAATCATGATTATGGTGGTGTTTGCTACATCAAGGGTTGGGACCAGCAGATCTTCTACACTTGGAAGCCTGACGGTCGGTGGGTGATGCCTGCCCAGTACTGGCGTCGGAGTGTGCAGTTCAAGACCTTTGATGTAGACTTCTTTTTTTTGGACACCAACATTCTGGACAGCTTCAGCCCAGACGTGGACCCTGGCCACAACCTTTGCTCATCTGTCAGCAATCCTGGAGAACACTGTGAGCTGGAGAGGTTCCCAGTGAAGAATGGCACGGATGGTGCAAGTTGTGCTGCCACAGGACCAGTCAACCCGCAGGACTGTGTGAAGTGGTTCGAGAAGTTGTGGGCCGATCAAAAGAAGTGGTTTGTGGATGCAGTGCAAAAATCCACTGCCGATTGGCAGATTGTCGTGATGCATCACCCCCCAAGCTACACCCCTGGAAGAGCAGACAGCGTTCTCCATTGGACAGACATTGCCAGGGAGGCTGGAATTGACTTGATTGTTGCTGGCCATAAGCACGAGCAGAAGGTCTACTACAAGAGATCCTTCGCTGGAACTGACATGGAAGACACTGCCTGGGTCATCACTGGTGGTGGTGGGGGTGTCACCTCAGATATTTTGCCCACCAGCAGCGGTCAAGATGATGCTTATGGCTTCATGGACATGAGCATCTCCTTGGACCAGATTGAGATCACAGCAATCTCACATGGAGGCACTCGCGGACAGTACATCGAGCGTAGCAAGACGACGGTTGCCCCCCGTTTGAAGAGTGAGGCTGTGTCCTCGCTGGAGATCACCGTATGAGTCGGACGGGTCGCCATGGTCTTCGAAAGGAGATTCATCGATGGCCTTTTTGCCTAGCTTGGGCCCAAGTGAAGTTTCAGATGAAAGTCCAAGACTTTCAAGCCACAGCCGAGGGGGCTGTGATGTTAAGAACCTCAAGTCAGTTGGGCTTCGAGCATTACTTTGTGTCAAAAGACGTGCTTTCACAGCAATTCGTTCGCTTTACCTCTCGGGAATTGAAGACTGTTGGATTCTTGAATTCTGGATTCGAGTTTGTTTAAGCTTCCATTTGCAGGCAGAAGCAGAAGCCGCAAGCATTCAGGCTGCGAATAGAGCATATTGCCAGCAGTACCAGGTGGGGAAGCCTGAAATCCTATATATCCAGCACAAGATGCAGCCCAAATACACGTAATGACCGGAGAATAGCTAGTAAAGCAGCATGACATGTGTGATGCTCCAAGAAAGTGCCAAGAAGCTGAAGCAGCATCCTTGACCGCAGGTGACGCAAGATTTGCAGACCAGTGGCTGGACATTGAATTTAGCTATTGAGAGGCTCATGATGTAGGGAAGGAGGAGGCAAGAAGTAGTATTGCACCGTACTACACGTGGCATCTCTTGCGAAGTGATCTCACACCCTGAGATTTTGGCTTCAAACAAAAACAGCGATTGTTACTTTAAGAAGCTGGAAGTCTCTGGAGCTACGGGACCAGGTAGTATATAACCGCAGTCTACTCTTGGCCCAGGCGCCTTGTCACGCTTGGCAAAATCATCTGGCTGGAATCCAGAAGAGCTACTGCATTACATGAGATTCCTAGCAGCAAGACCTTGCATTTTTTGCTACATGCCTGGTGCCGTTGTTTGATGCTGTCGAGCGAAATGCACACCATTCTCTTAACTAGCTCGCGGTGAAGATTCAGCAAGGAAAGGAGAGTGTTCCGATTTCATTTGAGGAATTCGCGCATTGCGAAGTCACCCAGCAAATAGGAGCACTTTGGCAGACTTGTAAAGTGGCAGCCTTTTATTTTTTCCGAAACCACCGACTGGTACTGTTTGGTTTCCTTTTTGACTGGTTGCGAGCTCTGGACGTGGATATGGACCGCATCGCTTGCAACCAGACGCAACCGGAACTCCTGTGAACTGAGGTATGATCCGATTTTAGCAATCCAAAACTGAAAGGACTCGATGACAATGGAAGAAATGACTAGAAATGTCAAAAAGCCGTCCAAAAGGGCTGCGCCATGTAGATGTATTTAGTATAGTGACTTTCCCGCACTAAAGACCGCTCCATGAGATTGCCATTTCAACAGAAGTTGACAAAGTGGGCACTCGTGGAACAAAGTGGACACTCAAAAGAGAAATTCATGCACATGCTAGCTTTCAAACAAGGCTTACAAGCAAACTTATAGCCGTTATAGCCTCCATCAAAGTATGGCCTGTACACACGAAAAGGCTGCCTTGCGCCGATGGGGGGAGGTCATAGCGTGAAAAAACATCCGCGGGTCCATGTGCCCCGTCCAGGCGATGTGGGTTGTTCGCAAGAATAGACAGCCTTTACTGTAAATGCCTTTAATCATACATCAGACGTCTTTCAGGTCTCTTCAGGAACGCTTCTGAGCCACGACTCTCCCCAGCTCGTGCCAAGGCCGGAGAAACGGTAGGAGTGTTAAGTCGTAGTATGTTACCAATAGAGCAAAGATTGGTGCCACTTAACAGAGTCGTGAGTCATTGTAGTTTAAAGGAGTGAATGAGAGCCTTCTTGCTCCTAGTCAGAGGTGTATGATGTCCAAACCAGACATATGTCCAAATCAGACGTCGATGTACTCAAAAAACACATCATTCTATATAAAGGTCTTGCTGAGCCAACATGTCTTTGCAAAGGAGCTCCTGAATCGGCTCACACGGCCTGCAACCTCTCGGGAGGTGAAGGCCATATTCTCAGCGCGACGTCCTTGCGTTCGTCAGTGATGTCATTTTTGGCATTTGGGGATTCCGATGTTGGCCCATTCATTCCCAGGAGATTCCAATCAAGCGGCCTGCCTCTGCGCCCATGAGTGTGGAGGACAGGGCACTAAACGACCCAACTGTCTTATCGTTTTTCTACTTTCCAACTGAATTTTGCAACGCATTCCGAACCTGTGTGTACTTGAGCAACATAAGGAGTTGAATGCGAAGGTGAACGACATTTCCAAAGCCAACACAGGGTAGTCATGGGTTCGCTGTGCAGTGGCGCGCGTCTGCCTGTTTAAAGCACCATTTTATTTGTTTATACAGTATAATATGTCTATTCTCAGACTCCTATGTGATCCCCCTTCACATTCTGTGGTGTTGCAATGCACTATCAGACGGCAAGGAGTGTGTGAGGTTGACAACAAGTTGGCATACACGTTCAATAGCCGACACCAACAGTCTATCATTTGCTAATGGTCTTGTACTAATGGCCATTCTCGCACTCTGATCTGGTTCCCTTGAAGGTGCTTGTTTCCTTCCGGAGGAACAGCGGCGGCGCTGTGAGAATTTGGCACAGCCCAAGGCCCAACCAAAGCGGTGGGGATTCCAACTCAACCAGTGCTTCGAACAGCAGAATGCTGCTATTTTAATTCTAATTTGTTACTACTAGTAAGGCACTCGTTCCTAGTAGCGATGCACTTGTCACATGGCATGTTTTTCTCCTTGTCTTCGAGTCATTGCACATGACAAAGCTTATGGGCCACACTCGCTTTGTCATTGGCACGCTGGAAAATGCTGACCACTTGGAGAAGACTTGGCACTCGGCAGCTCAGGTATCGTCAGCGGTCCTGACCTCGGTCAGGTATCGTCAGGTGTGTCAGCATGTGCCGATGGCTCCAATAGTGAACACCAGTTGCTCAGACCGTGATGAACTCGATTTGCAGCTCCGAAATCGCATACACTACGGGACGGTACGCAGTTGATTGAATTCCACAACGAACAAGGCATCGAATCACGCATCGAAGGTGCCGTTTTGCCCAGGTGCAGATTTCGGCGACGATGTTCTGCAACAGTCGCCAAAGCCCCAAGCAAAAGGTTAGTCTAACGTTTGTTAACTGTTCATAGTTTTGCCGTCACATTGACGAACTGTGAATTCTTGCGAAACAGGCACCCAAGACAGCTCCTAAACCTTGACCATTCCTCTGTGGAATCGTTCTGCTGGGGAGCTGTTGTGGTCCTCAGGTCGCCGCACAGAGGGCCAGTATGGAGCGCCTTGCACGGCCCAAGTCCGCCAAAGCGCCTCGGTGTCGAGCGAAGAGACAAACGAACGCATGCTGGAAGCCACGCACAAATAAGCAAGATTAT